CTAGCTCATCTCATTAGATTTTTGGAAATTATTTCCTCCTAAGTACTTAACTTTAAGCTTTAATAATCTGCATACTTYACATCCTTGATTCAATGAACTACAGTTATTTAATAACTTTCAGGGTGTTGTTCAGATCGCAGAATACTCTGGTAACTGATCAMAATTYTCCGGCTAAAATTACCAGCGTCTTGCGTCATGACATGATTTTATCCGGCTAGTTCATGATCTTCTCTATCATTAAAAAAGTTAAAGAAAACCCTGAACTTTATAGGCTCACAARTCAATCTGTGTGCTCTGAAAGTCGTTCCTCTCAGCTCACTTACATAGGTATGACATTATTATTTCTTGTCAATGAGTAGAATGGAATTGATGATCAGTGAAACTAGATGAACGGCAGGGTGCACAGACTGATTCGTGGGCTGATAATACGTTTTAACCAAATCAAGAACTCCTCTGTGTGAGCAATGTCTGACTGGCCAACTAAAGCCCCATAATTGCCATGTTTATGGCTGTCCATGATGATAACTCCTTGACCAGAACCAACAAATGACACAGTTAGGTCATTAATTATCACGATAGCAGCTACATTGGGTTCATGAGTCAATCTTTGCAAGTAGAAGCCTAAAGAGGAGTGTAACACATTCAGGTTTTGTAGACAGAATTCCAAATCAAAAGATTCTTCCACTGTAACATTTCCAAGTTGCTGTCTGACATGAGGGATGGCCTCAGTTACTGAAAAATTGATTGGTCATTGACCTGTGACTCTGTCATGAATTTGGTTTCCCTTGACAATTTGAAGAGCCATTTGACCAAACCAACTTGATGGGAGAKTACAGACATTGGGATTAAAAAGAAGATTGTTCCTATTTGTCATGAAAGATTTACAAAGTAGTAGAGAGATGAATGTACATGCATTAGAACCTTGCCTGTWGTTGAAGTCAGATTGTGATAGAAATTCTGGAAAATAGAACAAATTAAATCCATTATTTCTTTGCAGTGAAATTTGAATCCTGAAATTGTTTCCAGCTTGAGGTTGTGCAGAATTGGATAAAGTAGCTGTAGCACTAGAAGTATTTGCTGACCGCTGTTGAAATTGATCAAGCTGTGGTACATCAAAGCTGTCCAGAACAGAATCAATTTGCTGCTGGAACTCTGGGGAATCATARAATTCGGGATCATGTTGATTGTTACTATTATTCACGTTGTCATCCTCTGTTATTTCTTCTTGGGCAGTACTTGTTGTTGATGACTCTTTTGTCTTTTCCAAGAGGGATTTATTGAAAGCCTCAGAAAGTGTACCTGCAGTTTGTACTAGAAAMGCTTCACAATTTATGCATCTTTCACAGCATTCAGCATGGTAGGTATGGCCACAAGCCATACATTGTACGTTTTGATGATTTTGAATGTTACAATGTTGACTGTCACGAAATTTGCTGATGTCAGGTAAAAGACTTGGGTTGACTGGTTTTCTCTTGTCCTCAGATTTATAGGCCAGAGGTAAAGCAGTTGATTTTACTGTAGTGTTAAAGGAAGTCAGATGATAATTGGCTTTTCCTTTGTATCTTGTTCCTTTCTTGTTCGTCTCTCTTGGAATCTAGAATGACAAAATATGTAGGAATTTAAAAATGATATGCACCTATGTCTATGTATTGTTKTACACATAAGTATGCATAGCTAGCTGAGTAATCTTTTGCTTTCCAAGTTCTCTGTATCTCCCAGAGTGCTTATACCACAGCACATGTTTATATGTTTTATATTTCTTTTTATTAATTTCCCCTAACATTTAATAGGAATTATCCAATGTAGATAAAGACAGTACTATCAGACTATACCTGTTTTGAGTTTCCTATATTACCAGCAATATTTTTGAATAATTCAAGGAGGAGCTCTGCTGTTTTTCCACTGATGAGTCTGAAGTCTTGATCACACAKGCCTCTTTTATATGGTCTTGTAAATGATTGGTAAAAGGTTTTATTGGACTTGGATTGGGCAATGGAGATTGCTGCATTCCTTATTTCATTAGCATTATTCTGTGGTTGGATGACTGATCTCAGTGCAGAATGCCGTATTTCAACCTTTTTCTCAGTTATCACAGAGAGAAAATTTTGCTTTAGCCTGTAGTATTCTGGAAAATTAAGTTTCTGATGGTATAGGTCACTTAACATTGACAACGTGGCCCTGTCATAATGGTGACGTTCCCATATAATAAACAGAATAGTTATGCGTGCCATCAAAGGAATGTAATTGTCAAGGTTTCCTGATCTAAATAAAACAGGATAGTGGAAAAGTGCCATGGGTACAACTTCTTCAAGAATGTGCAGTATGCAGACATATTCCAARTCTTTGCAAATTTTAAATTTTGWCATCACCTTCTGGCGGATATGAAGCCAACCAAAGTAAACAGCCACTAGGAGGACATAAGCTCTTAAAGGTTTCAGTTTCCTTGGCATCTGTGTTTCAAACACTTTTTCATAGATATCAGAAAAGAAAAAGTGGTATTCTTTGATCACATCTTCATTCATATTCAGTGAGACATGAAAAGGCCCTTGCTCAGGAATGAATGRCAGTACTGGAGAAGATTCATTTTCTTCTTGTGATATTATTTTSTTGGTGAAGTACCATGTWGGCCAGTCACCAGGCATTGGAACAACAAAGGAATGGAGATATTGAACTAATTGAGGACACAAAGAAAGGCAATGTTCAATGGCTTCCTTATAATTTTCCATGCTCTTCAATTGATGCTCAAACTCGTCAATCAATAAACATGAATCTATTGTTTGTAGATCATCATGAGATGTTTCAGAGTAAACCCYAGAACAAATAAATAATTAATTTCTAATCTCTTTCTTTCTCAATGTTTGACCAGAGAAGGGAGATTGTAGAATAGAGGAAAATTTACAGAACATTCTTAAAACATTTGGCACAAATCTTGCATCTACAATAATGTAATAATTGC